GGATTGGTGTCATAGAAGGAGCCATTGTTGTTGATGGGTTAGCTGGTGGCATCCACGAAGGCGTATGATTGACTGAAGTGTTGGCACCAATTTCTGCTGGACGGAAGAACTCTAGAGTTATGTTGGCAAGTGACTTGCAGACAACATATCCTGTATGCGTTGATAACGATACTTTATACATGCCTTGTCATTCACTTTAACAAGAATGTCGCCATCTCTTATCTGGGAGAATGATGCCGACTGTTCGACAGCTTCAACAATCCAGCCTCCTCCAATTATTGTTTCCGGTGCTGCACTCACCCGGATTATAATAGAGATTAATATTAATCCGGATGATTATTATTAATAATAATCTAATCCTTCCAATTTTTGCCGTGCCTTAATCTATTACTGGATTATAATAATCTATTGCTGGATTATAATAATCTATTACCGGATTATAATAACCATATTACAATCTATTATTATTATAATCCACGGATTAATATTAATCCGAGTTGTCCTGTATGAATGCAGGGAACCGGTCTGGAGGGCTCATCAGGAAAAACATTAGTTGAAAGAAAAGCAACATCTCACTTGTTGTACCACTTAGTAACAACAACTTAACCACCATTTCTCCCCAACCGTAACTTGTTTTTCGCGCAACTTGTTTTTCGTCCTTACGTTAACAACGCACCGTTCCACATGCATATTTTGGGCCAAAAATTGATGAAGCCTCAAACTTGTGAAAAATTGTGGAAAAAAATATGCCTTAAATTGTTTTAAAAAATTCAGGCATTTTCATGACAATATCATAGCCAAGACCGTGAATTCTATGGCGGTTTTTTCTGCTTGGTCGAGGTAAACAGCAAAATTTGAGATGTAACCATTTTTGGCATTGGCAGCCATCCAAAGTTTTACACCGTATTTAGTCAGCTTAGCTGGCATGAACTGTTGAAAGGAAAGGTGGCCTTTGTATGCAATCATTCCTTTATCGATTGACATAGGTTTTGAAGGCTCGTAAACATGCTTTAAATTACTCAAAACCATGTACATAATTCGGTGAACTTTGAACAAGCGATTGTAATCGTCATCTCCGCGTTGTAGTTCATTCGTTGAATGACTGAAATGCATATATTGCAAGTCCCTTGACCTTTCGGGTTCACCACTTATGGTCGACTTATCACTTTCACTGTCTTCAGGCTGACTTTCGCTACTTTCCTGCTCCGAAAATTCTTGCACTTTGGTGTCAGATACTGATTGGTTTATGCCTGCTCTTAACAATTAGTAAACCAATGAAAAAGAAAAAGTTTTGGGAAAAATGGGTATCAAGGATGGCCCATTGTTAAGTGGAGGTGGCGCTGGCTCTGCAGTGGTATGGACATGTGGATGGTCATACTCAGGAAAATGAAAGAGCTGCCTTACTATCTCCTTTCTGAAATGAGTGAGAGAGAAGTAAGCTTGCCTTTCGAACCCATCTCATCTCAAAATTTTGCCTACTGTTTCTTGAACGTAAATATACTATTTATGACTTCTATATCATTGAGGTGAAACCTTGCAGAACATTCTATGTGTTTAAGAACTGATCAGAGTGGTCATTGTCTCGTGAACGTATTTTAGTTACCAATAGCCCCTGGCTGTAAACTGACATTTAACCTTGATAACCCAAGCAATAAATAGGGATTCAGACTATATTAAGGGATGTTTAGAGCCTTCATGCTGGTTACTTGCCCATTGCTTCCGCCTCAGTTTGCTTGGCTCAGTTAGAATTTCTGCTGGCCAGCTTTCAGGGCTTGCTAACCATTCAGGTCCTTTCAGCCACAAGTTGGGCAACTTGGCTCTGTCACAGCCTCTGCTCCCTACATCTGCAGGGTTCTGGTCGGTGTTCACATGTCTCCAGGTAATGTAGTCCTTTTCCCTTATCTTGCTTCTTGTAGATACTTCCTCCGCCTTTAATCCAATGTAGGGCCACTGTGCTATCCATCCATCCATGAAACTGATCTTATGGGCTGGTATTGGAGGGCGTCTTTCACTTTT